TAAGGTAGGTGCTATTAATCTAAATTTTGACACATGTAAAAATTGAAACTCAGTGAAGAAACTTAAGATGCTATACATACTTTTGACTACCACAACCCCAGAGCCTAGAACCATACCTGGCACCATAAGTTGAATAAATGTTACCTGTCCACATAATGGCAAGTACATTTTTTACCAGGATTTGATCAAAGGTCTGTGGAGTCTTTCTTTTCCAAGTCAAGGGCTCATAATTTTTTTTTTTCTAAAATGTGGGCTGTATGGTCTCTGCTGAAACTACTTGACTCTGCCATTGTAGTCTCAAAGCAGCTATAGTCGATATGTAATTGAATAGATGTGGCAAAACCAGACAAACAGTCTGTGGTTTTCTGGCCCTTGCAAACTATCAGTAAGATAACTAAAAAGACAAAACACACATTAGTATTTGTATTTCATTATTAAATTAAGAAACTCACAATTGGGGATTGTGTGTGAGTTCTGAAATGCTTACTGGTTTGATCATGATCATTATCCTTCACTGAGGTCAGAGAGATTCTTCATGTCCAACTTTTCTTAATTCTGGCTATGAGAAAGTCAAACCTCACAGAACAGGTAGTGGAGAATCTTTTACTCTGAAATAGAAAAGCTATCATCCTCTCTCCCCTTTTTTCTTTATAGAAATAAARGACAAAGAAAATCTCCAGAAACCATAATTACATGTGGTTACACAAAGCCATGTAGTAATAGGCATGAGGGCAGGAGGACCTAAGTTATCTAAGGTTAACTTAGATATTTAGATTAAGTTATCTAAATCCAAGTCCTATGATGAAGTTGTTTTAGCTTCCCTGGGTTAAATGGTGATAATATATAGTAAAAAGCTATATAGTTATCAAAAAAAGTGTTTTTTAAAAAGCCCAAATCCTCTATAAACATGCAGTTTGATTGACAATTTATGATCAAAACAAACAATCTCAAGTAAAGGTTTACATTGAACTAGATACACACCTATTTAAAAGAAATCATTCCTGAAATAGGTAAGAATTTTTCCCAGAACCAAAACACTTCATAGAAATTTTTTTWAAAAAACTAGTAATTTAAAGTCAAGAGCTTAAAAGTCACAAAAGGTGACTCTTTAAGAAGAACAGACCAACTTCATATTCCAGGACTGCATTAGAAGCAACACACACACACACACACACACACACACACACACACACACAATAAAGACTTAAACTCTCAAAAAATGTGTCACATACTTAAGAAAAGCAAAGTGTATGATAAGGAATACTTTATCAATTTTTAAAAGTCAAGGGCAAATCTCTCTTACCTTTTTTCCTATTTATTTCTTTCCCTTGAAAGGTTTTACAAGAATTAAATAAGATTTAAATGAAAGYACTAGATAAATCATTAAGTCTTACAAGTTCCTATAAAAATGTTACATTATAAGTATTATTACTATTTTATTATTACATTGATCAACTGAACTACTGCCATACTGGCAACCAATATTTGGCACTCAATCTTTCTCATAAGATCCTAAGCTCCTAGAAAGTCAGATGTTTCCATGATCCAACTAGAACAGTTAAAAGTATCATTTTTAGGAGCATCGCATTCAAATACCCTTTGAATTGAATTGAGATTGACCTCAGAAAACAGTATGTGTTTAATAAAAAATTACTAACTGAATAAATAGTAGGCACACAACACATATTAGTTCTGATTTTTCCAGTTGATTGCATGTTTTCTCTTCTAGTGTAGCAGGTCAGTAATCAAAAATATTCCCCTTCCTGCCTCTGTTCTAGATGCCCACAGCATCAGACACTGGAAGAACACGTAACTCTTTTTATCACTGTTATTTATGGGCATAAATTCTCACTGAAAACGCAACCAACAGAAAGTAAGCACACTTATATGTGGGGGCAGGAGTAGGGAGGATTCTCCTAGAGCCAAGAAGAGAAGATGGAGTCAACATACAAGTGGAAAAGTAGAGGAATATTTCAAAAACCTGGGAATCTGGAAAAGGTACTCCCTGCAGTCAGGGGCAGTCTGTAAAGCTCTGAGCTTTGATTCTACAGCGTTGTGTATTCCTATAATATGATCAGCCATACAAAACCAGACTGATAAAACAGAAACAACTCAGAAAAACTTTAATTCATAACAGCTTAGCTAAAAGCAATCAGAATCCTATGCTAGCTGTTTAGCAGTCTTTTGAGATACAAGCAAGAAAGTGGCTCCAAATTGTTGCCCTTGACACTTCATGCCAGTTAYCACTTTTTCTTGGCTGGGAGTTTTAATGAAAAGACATTCATTAATAAGAAATCATTTTTAAAATGTGGGGTCTAGCTTGCTGTATTAGGGAAACAGAAACAAGCATTTTCCAAAAGAGACATTGCTATCGATAATTAATCTAGTACGGATACTGGAACTTCAGAGCAGTAAGCTTATTTTTAAAACAGAATATAATTGCCTGAAAGTCAACACAGAGCTAGGAGTTTAGCTTTTGGGGCATGCTTGAGGACTGAACTTTAATTCTATAGCATTTCTACTGGACCTGTGACAGGCAAAGGCAGTAACTTTAAAATAAAAACTTTTCAAAAGGTACAAATTCTTTCAGAAGAAAGAAAATAGCTTTAAAAAAGCAGAAATATCACAAGTGCAAAATATTCTAAGTACATGCTACTTGAAATTTTCATAATCTGACTATATCTAAGTATTAYCTCTATGTTGATCCTCAAATGACATTGCAAAATCATACAGAAAAATAATATTGTAATAGCCTTCAGTAAAACTATATTCGTTCAATAAGATAAAAATGATTAATTAATGATATATCTGCTTGTCTTAGAGAACTATTAACTTATGTGAATATTGTGTTTGTTTTATATATGCCTTTCAACAGTCCCTAAAGCATATTTTAACCCATTACGTGTTTCAAATTTTCTAATGAATATTGTATCACTGCTAAAGGACATAACTATGCATTCTACCTTCTTTATTCTTCTGTTTGAAACTAAAAAGATAATTTTCCTCATTTATGATCCYAAGTGATTTTAAAAAGAAACTCTCTCTTCATTAACGTTGTTTTCTTTTTAAGTGTGTGTGGGGGGGCAATCACCTTGGGCTTACCTAAGGATCAACCTCTGCTCTTCATGTTAAAAATAAAACATAAAACTGCTTGTCTTAGAAAATTTAGAATTCTCACTAAAGAGCTGAGGAGGAAAGCTGCTGGGAATGTTCAGTTTACAAGTTTTTGTGGAAAGAGCTCCCCTTTAGATTAGTGTTACTCAATGTTTATGAGGGTTGTTTGTCAAGGCAAAAATAAGGTGCCTCCTCCCCTCAAATTAAAGAATCAAGTTACAATCCATTATTTCATTTCTGATTGTTTTTCTTTGTAATAAGTGGGAAAGTGGATACTGGCTAAAAGTCTTCCCCCAACTAAAAGACTCCACATTAAAGGCTCCAATTAGCTATAAATCAGTTGTCTTTCCTACTGGGGAGAACAAGAGAGAAAAGAGAGGGGGTAGTTAGAGAAAAGAGAACTGGAAGAGTTTCCAAATTAAATTCTGAAAAAGATACCTACTGCAGACCTAAAACCACTTTCAGAGGCTGCTATTCTGTTTAAAAGTTAAGACTAAACTACCCTCCCAAATCTGAGGGTTGAGTCCTTTCTCAAATGTGTAGGTCTTGCATTTTAAGTCCTCTGAAGAGCCGCTGGAGAGGTTAGAGACCCTCATAAAACAAAACTTTTATGCTGCATGCTTTCCCTGCTTGTTCCTAAGACCGAAAAGGTGCCGCACATTGGCACTATTGTTATGCAAACAATGCCTAAGGGCTATAACCATTAACGACCTCTCATTAAAATGGCCTTCAAAAATTTGTCACACCCTCTAAAAGAGCTAGCAGGTACATTAAATCCATCTAAATCSACATTCAAAACACGAATCATCCCAGATAGCATCCTAAACTCAATCCATGTAAAATTTCAATATTGTGATGGTTTGGGGTATTTCTCTTTTCAGCCATTAAGCCAAGAATCAAACAATTTAACTTCTCTACAAAACGTAGTGGATCTTGTAATAAGCATGATGGAATACAACTTTAGCGATATTGTGAGTACACACATAGGTTTAAGTTAATTGCAAGAAATGTGCGACGGTAATAGAAAATCAAATAAGAACTGTAAAGTGAACTCCAAGAAATGTGGGTCTAAATCACATCTATCAGAACCCCACCAAGCTATAACATTACAATTCTCCGATATATATATGTAAATCTGATTTTTTTTTCTATGACGAATTTGTGGAAAGTAAAGTCAACTTACATTAGGTAGCAGAGGCACATTTATACACGTGTGTGTGTTTTTAAAATGCAAGGCAACAATAAAATTCCTGTTAATCAAAACCAAAAAAAAAAAAAAAAGTCAAAGTTCGTTTTAAAAAAAGTTTTCAGTAGAAACGTGACCCCGAAAACTTGCACAAATACAAAGCTTCTTCAAGTTTCCCAGGAAAAAAGTCACACTGCCTACAAAATTCAAATGAAATCCTGACACTGACTCTCGCTGTGCTTTTTATCAGCCAGGTTCCCGTGAAATTTGTCACACACCGGCCAGAGCGCCAGAGTTCTGACCATTTCCTACTGGAAAAGCGCTCCGCTCGGTCCGGGCTCCGAGGACCTGCCGGGCGGCTGGGAGCGAGGACCGCGRAGCGATGGCCTGRCTTCGCGGCGATCCGGCGGGAGCTYGGGTCTCCTCTGCGGAAACCGGGAGGTTCCCGACGCCTTCCCCGCGGTCTGGGGCAGAGCCGTTGAAGGAGACCCTTCAGCGAGCGCTGCCTTTAGGCTAGTCCCCGACGCGTCCCAAGACACGGCGGGACTTCAAAAGCCACCACCGCGGAGATAGACAGGGCGTCCGCTGCAGCTCAGGACGGCAAGCTGGCCCCAGAGACCCCGGCCCTCGCCCCCTGGAGAGCCCGAGGAGGAAGTCTCTAGAAACCCCCGTGGGCCGTGGGCGCCCGCCGGCCGCTTACCTTGGAGGACTTGAGACGAGGCTGGGCGCGGGCGACAGCAGGAGGAGCAGGGACGCCACGAGGACGGTGGGGACGGCCTTCACCTCGCCGGGCATCTCGATCTTACTGGAAGTCATGGTGGCGGGCCGAAGTGTCGCTCGCCCGCGGCGTGGGCTGTGCGGGCTGTTCGCGCGGTCCGCGGGCCGGGGGCGCGCTCGCCTGTATATAGGCAGGTGTCAAGCTGGGACTCTTCTTATTGGACGTGAGGGCCGAGGCGCGGGGGGCTGGGCCATCCTACCTAGGAGCCCTGGCGCAGCCCCGATTTACATAAAGCCCGGGCCGCGCGGCCCGCGCCCACCATCCAGGGCGCCCTCGCCCGGGTCGGCGGGGCTCGCTCCACGTCCACACGGCCGCCGTCGTCGACGGCCAGACTGCGAATTTGCTTGGGGCTCTGTCACTGGACCGTCTCCCTACCGTCCCCTCAGCTTCCGAAGGAGCCGTACCTTGGCCCGAGTCAGGCTGGGGGTCGTGGCCCCCGGAAGCGGTGTCAGCGAGAGAGCCAGGGMGTGGAGGGTGACACCCGAGGGCCAGATCCCTCCCACTCCCTCCCGGGCCGGCCGAACACCAGCTCCCCAGCGGTTGGGATGGGGGAACGCCCTGGGTCCTCCTCCCAGGGGAAGGGGAGCGGCACTCTCGGCAGCGACCCCCTCTCCTACACTTGTCAGGGTGGCCCGAAGTGCGCGGTGGGCAGAGGGCTAGGGAGGGGTAGTGATGGGTGCGCCCCACATTCGGAATGAGAACCTTTGCGAGCCAGTGGGCGCTTCGTGGCCCTCCTCACGCTGCTTCTCCCGCCTGATTGCTGCCCTCTGCCGGCAGGGACCGGTCCGGGCGCCTGGGCTGTGGCTGGAGGAGTGGGCTTGGGTCCTGGTCAGCTCTTGAGTTGTTGCGTTGTGCCATGGGCTACTTTATCTCTCCATATCCTCCTCTACCCCTTTCCTCTCCTCTCCCCCAAAACACCTGGTGTGTGKGGGGGTCCCTTGTTCTCCCGATAACAGCTTGGGCCTCTCATGCCTTGGATCTGTCCCTGCACTGCTCTTCGGGGTTGAGCGTCCATCTCCATAACTCCTCATTTTTTTCTGTAGTCCAACAAGCTTCCTTCTGGTTTGTGGGTCAGCATATATGTGTAAATCAAGAACTCAAGAGAGCCGGCTGCTGTGGCGGAAGCCTATAATCCCAGAGGCTCAGGAGGCTGAGGCAGGAGGATCATGAATTGAAAGCCAGCCTCAGCAGATGCGTGGCGCTAAGGAATTCAGTGAAATCCTGTCTCTAAATAAAATACAAAATAGGACTGGGGATGTGCCTGTGGGCTCAATCCCTGTACCTCCAGGGGCGGGGAAAGAAGAAGAAAAGGAAAGGAAAGAAAGAAAAATAGAGAGCCATTCCAAGTTGGGCTTTGGGGTCATTGGACTGAATCTGGGTCCCACATGAAAGACCTTTAATAGAATCCTTTCCCTTCCTCATGCCCAATGTAGACCTGAATGTAAAGCAAAATCCTACTGTGAAAAACTTTCAATCATATTTTTTTTTTCAATGGAAGGGCATATTATTGTGAGTGTCTGAACTACTAAGCAACTCCTTGATTTACATTTTACATGCCATTTTCAGAACATTAGAATCCAATTTCTTTGGGTATTATCAGAAAACCTTTGTGTTAGATACTTCCAGTAACTAAAACTGCCTAATGCTTGGTTCTTTCACGCTAAGCAATAGTGGGTGTAGACAAAATATTCAATTCTGGTAATAAACATGTAGACATAGTTTCAGCCTCTCAGGATCCAAAGTCTCAATCCAAAGTGACTTAATTTACTGCAGACCTTCACTTAGGCAGTTGAGGGGTATTGATTCAGAGGATTTCTCTGCTCCAAAATTATGCCTTAATTATGGCATATGTTCATGAGATACATTTTTATTAAAGACTTAGAAGACTGGAGATAGCATTGAGGAATAAGAAAGTAAGATCTTGGGGTTTGTTAGGGAGAGAGAGAAGTTCCTGACAAGGGAGAGCAAGGATCTCTGTGGAATAATCCCTGGGGAACAAACATGGAAGTGTTTTGAGCACTTCCATGCAAGGTACAGTGCTTGAGTCTGCATTACAAACTAGAGCAAGAGCCCTTGCCCCAGTGAGCTCACAGCCTTCACTACTGATAGGTAGATGACCTACTACCATGAGAACCTGTGAGGAAAATTTACAGAGTGCATCAATGGCAAGATCTTGTGGCTCCACCAAGGAAGAGATCTACTCTCAGGGGAAGTTGACCTTTGAACATGGCTTGAAAAGAGAAGTGAGTCCTCACCAGGAAAGGGAAGGACACAGTAAACAGAAGAGTCTGCAAGAGCACAGGCTGAGAGATGTGAAAACATTTTTGGAGAGACATCAAATGTGGTTGGAAATGTGGTAAATGAGGCTGGCAAGGCAGTTAACTTCAGATTGTAAGGACCTTAATGCTGGAGGTACTGATAGGCTATTAAGAGCTTCTGAGGAAAAGGAAACTTTCATGGTTTGACTCAATAGATGAATAAGGTCAGGAAAGAGTCACAAACTAGAATAAATTGGTTTATATTCTCAGAGAGTAAGACAAGAGTTGCTTACTCTTGATCCACCTCTTGTTTGCTAACTCCTGTTCTAACACTGTGGCTAGAAACTCTCTCACAGAGGAAGGAACAGGATCCAAAATGATGGAATTATACAGAGTCATACAGCAAATAGATTTCCTTCACTCTGGCAGGAAAGGAAGTACTTCTTGATTTCCCTTCACAAATAACTTCAAAGTTCTAGTTCAGAGACAGCAGCAGGCTGGTTTAAATGGTTCCCTCATGACTTCTTTTGTGTGACACTTACTCTCCCACTAGACAGTGAAGAGATCCACACAGGGACTGTCTTCTATTCCCTTTACACCTTCCTCAGTTCCTAAAATAGTGTGGAGTTCATTGTGATTATTTAATAAGAATTTTGTTGAGTGATTTGAACAAAAGACAAAGCATTGTTAACTACTTCTACCATAAGAGGAGGAAACTTCCCTACATTCTGATTAAGATCATCTTTCTGATCTTAAACTTCGTTTTGCCATCCCCCATCTTTTACCATGCACTTTTCTATTTCAAGATTTCTAAGGTTTTTTTTTCTTTATATAATATTCATCTGGGATGGGGAAACCTCCCCCCGCCATATTCAGCTCAGGCAGGATTGCAACCATTTTTTTTTTAAAGAGAGAGAGAATTTTAATATTTATTTTTTTAGTTTTCAGCAGACACAGCATCTTTGTTTGTATGTGGTGCTGAGGATCGAACCCAGGCTGCATGCATGCCAGGCCAGCGCGATACCACTTGAGCCACATCCCGGCCCTTGCAACCATTTTTTTATCCAAGCTCTTTAATTCCAGGTGGGGAAAAAGTTTACAAGAGAGCAGTGTATTTATTCTATCATCCTTCTTTAGTCTACATCTGCTTGATTTCTGCTCTTAGGACTTATATTACTTTTAAAGCTGCCTTCTTTTCTCACATTTCATTTTTCCTTCCTTATACTCTTTCTTTATTATCTTCTTTTATTGTCTTTCCCTATAGATCTGACAACAATTAAAGGTACAATTTTTGCCAGAACTACCTTCACAATTCTAAGGTTTTAAGTATCAGTCTTTCCCCCAGTTTGATGAAGAAACATTTTCCCCATCCTTACAATGTTTCTCCTCCTGCACTCCTCCATCTGTAATTATTTATTGTTTAGGATACATCTTGTTTGAAACCCCCATGAACAAGGAAACCTAAGCTACAGCATACTGTATTTATTTCCTTGTGAAAACAATTTATTAGGCCTGGTGGAACCAATATCCTGGAGTTGCAGAGGAGAAAAATAAATTCTTGCCTCATATTTCCTCACCTAAATAATAGAATGCAAAGTTGTAATTTTAAGGCATCAGCTTTATATGAAGTTTGACTTTAAGGTGTGATATCAWAATAATCTAGACTTATTTTTAGATGCAGTTAAGGAAAGTAAAGTATTTGTTAATCCAAGAACTATGCTTTAGAAATCAAGGATTTCTAAAGATTCCTCTCAAAGAAGACACACTTTGTGTTTTGACAATAATTGCATGTCCACCTTGAACATCAAGCTTCAATGTTCAGGGACTCTTTCAGCCTCAGGTGGCTTGCTTAATGGCCTTCCTGCTTCCATTACTAACTACGATGACAGCCCACCTTTCTAACCAGATACACTTGCATTTTAATTTATCTTTAAAAATAAATCACATATTATAGCATTTCCTTCTTCTGGGTTAATTGAATCAGTTCCTTAAATGTCTCTAAGTCTAATGATTTGAAAGAGGCACATTGTTTGAAATATTTAAAAAATTAGAGCCCTTGGGTCGTATGCAGAATGATCTCAGTGCTTATTTCAGATATAAGTGTTTCCTAATGATCTCATTCATCTCAAATGGGATATGCCTGGTCACTTTATTTGAAATGTTTCCTGAAAACTCTAACAGGAAAGCTTAATGCGAAGTATATTTATAGAGAAATGGTATTTAATTTACTAACAAAACCTTATTAAAAACCTTTACATATTTTTATTCAGAAATGCTTAATGAAGTATTTTGGACCCATTATGCAAACTTCTATAAAATAAAATCACTTATTTTTATATTTGATGTCAATATTAAATTTTTATTTGAGATCTAAATGCTCATTTAATTATTCTCTTCCTTCTTACATCCAGAAGAAAAGAGGCTGAGATTGTGGCATTTATTAACCATAAAAATTCTCTGGTTATTAAGACCCTCAATTCTTAATGTGGTTCCTAGTCATTATATTTTTTTGGAGAAGACTATTTCTGGTTAGAGGGAGCGGATTACTAATTGGTCATGGCTCCAGAAATCTACACTCTGATATATAACATAATTCTTTCCTTTTAGAATAAATCCTTCACTTTAGGGGGCCCCAAGAGTCTATTTTAAAAGTGGGAACTAGATTTGCCTTTATTTTAAAGCCAGATTGTACTTCATCTGTATTGTAGAGGTTTCAATCTGGGTACAGGGATGAGCTCAGTATTTTATCAATAATGACACTTTAACAGATAGGAAAAAAATTAAAATTCCAGCTCTGCAGCCTTTCTCTAAAGCGTCTGAGGAAAAGACATTAGCTCCCTCTGCAGCCAATGGTGTGTATGTACAAGTGAATAGTGCCAAATACAGTCGCTTGTATTCAGTATATTTTTATGTGGTACTGGTAAGAAATCTTTAGGAGATTTAATTTTAATTACTTTAAAGAAACCATCTCAGATAAACAAATTTTAGACTGCAGTTATTTCAGAAGAAGGACTTTAATTAAAAGACATTTTAATTTTTTGGAAAAGAATTTCTATCAGTTAAATTTGCCATAGAATATATAATACTTAGACCCCTATAGCCCCACTTAAGTAATGCTCAGAGCATTCAGTATCATAGAGAAGATAGGAATATCTTGGAGTATAGGAATGAAAGCAACTACTTTTTATCATGGC